AGTAGCTGACAGAGTCCTAACAAAAAGCAAAAAGCAGGAGACACTAGTTTAAAAATTCTTTGTTACTAGTAATGTTACTTAGGCAAGTGACTTAATTTAGGCTTTAGTTCAGTCTCTGGAGCAGGGAATGCTGAGGGAATGTAATAAAGCCTTCTTCAGCAGTGACATGATATGATGTATGCATGTTTCTTTGATATCTTCATGATAATGACTCCCTGAAAAGGTAACTATTAAGCCTTAGAAAGAAGTCACTGAGGATATCCATGCTCAGAAATGTGCTGATAAGTGGGATATGGTGGAAAAGAAATAAGAAGTTCCTAAATAACAGAATTACCTATAGATGATTATAATGAAAAAAGCACCTTAATTTTTAAAAAATACTGCAACCGGAATATGTTTGGTTACGCCAAAAGAAAGGAATATGGAAATTTTTAGTGCCATCTATTGGTAGTGATTTTAAAATAAGAATTATTATACATAATTGATGAGTGGTGGCTCTTTGTTGTATCCAAATTCCTAATTCCTAAGGATTCTTGTTAACTATAGAAGAGGGTAGTTTAAGAATCCATTGTCCTTTTTTTTTTTTTAAGCAATTTTGGTGGTTTTTATTATGATTACATGGATGGATCATAGAAATCTTGTTTGATTTCATGTCTTTATTAGGACTGGTCATGGAAGGTGGATATATGTGTGTCATTTGAAATGTGGCTAAAGTTCAGAGAAATAGGTTTCATTTAATAGCTGAATACTGGATGACCTCACCATTCTTCTCACCCTCTGGCAGCTCACCCTGTGAGCGATAGAGGGGATGTCTGCATGAACTGAGAAGTAGCTGCTGGCCTCAATGTGATTTTGCAGTGATCTGTGTGCTCTATGGCTTCCTTCATAACCAACAAATCAATTCCCACTATACGTATTACACACCCCAGTGGCAGAGGCCATTTATTATCCTTTTGATGGTCATACTCTTTGTACATAACCAAGAAAGATTACAAAGGGAGGAAAAGAACAGTTGCAATATGGATGAAGATATTCTACAATGCCACTGCATTTTATCATGTGCCTTGCATGTCTGGAAGGATACAAAAGCTGCTCTCTTTCAGGACAATTTTGAAAAACATGGAAGCGGAATTCTTTTTAATGAAAAATATTTCAAGAATAAGTGAAGAGAAAGTTGTAGAGATAATTCTACAACAATTCTAAATTCTATGCATTTAGATTTCAAAGGCAAATTTAAAATGATTAAAAGACCATCATATTTTATTTTTGTATGGGCATTGTTAATAATATTATACTGCCTGGTTTTGCTCAGTTAATGAGCTTTTGATGTAGCCTTTTAGTTGACATCATCCATTATCAACTGATTTTTTTTGGTTAATTTCTAATTTTGCAGTATATACATTTTTAAACTCTAAATGATTGATTCAAGGATTTTCCTAATTTTTGAATCCACATACTATAGTTACCATTACTAGATAAATCAAAAAAACAAATACTGACTTGTAGTGACTAGGTATAAAATAATTGAATATTTTGAATTTGATATAAGTGGCTCCTAATGAAATTTTGGTGCTATTTGCCCTAAATCAAAAGTCTGGTAAAAAATAAGTATATCTGGATGTATATCTAAATGTGAGTAGGAAACATTTTATTAGAGAAACTAATGGTAAAAGTATGACTTTATAGTGGGTTCTGTGCATACACACTTAAACTGCATAGTCATCTTGTCAATGGATGTGAAAAGAACAGTGGAAATTTCCGAAGGTCAAAGAAACTGCTGTCTTTTCTGTTTTGCATCATTTGAGATTTTACAGGTTTTTTTTTTTTCTTTTGCAAACAACACAATGCCAAATCTGCGTTTGATTTTCCCTTCCCTTTGAAGGGTAAAACAATGACAGAGTGATTAAATGAAGAGGATATCATGTACAGGATATTTTGCTTTAGCAGTGTGGAAAGTTCTGGGTTTCATTTCACATGATGGTAAATGGAATGAGGTATTCTGGAATCCCTTCTATAAGAGAATTAGCCCCTGACTATATTACAGTATATAAACCAAACCTTTTTGGGCTCTGTTTCCTGTTTAACTGTTCCACATTTGTGTAATTGAAAAGCATGCTCAATGCAAAGACATCTTGCTTTCCATTAGGTGAAAGATGTCTTTGCAAAGACATCTTGCTTTCCATTCTACACCTTCATGGAGAATCACATAAGAACAACAAAAAGGAATTGTCAATATCAGGTTCAGTGCCTCACTAGTTCTGTGCAGACCAAAAGGAGGTAGTTACGGTCTTCTAGTTCTCCCTTCCTTCCCTTCCTTCCTTCCTTCCTTCCTTCCTTCCTTCCTTCCTTCCTTCCTTCCTTCCTTCCTTCCTTCCCTTTCTTCGTTCTTTCTTTCCTTTCTTTCCATTCTTCCCTTTCTTGCCTGCCTGCTTGCTTGCTTGCTTTCTTTTTCTCTTTCTCTCTTTTTCTTTCTTTCTTTCTTTCTTTCTTTCTTTCTTTCTTTCTTTCTTTCTTTCTTTCTTTCTCTCTCTCTCTCTCTCTCTCTTTCTTTCTTTCTTTCTTTCTTTCTTTTCATTCTTTCTCTCTCTCTTTCTTTCTTTCTTTCCTTTCTTTCTTTCCCTTTCTTTCTTTCTTTCTTTCTTTCTTTCTTTCTTTCTTTCTTCCTTCCTTCCTTCCTTCCTTCCTTCTTTTCTTTCGCTTTCTTGCTTTCTTGTTTTCTTGCTTTCTTTTGTTCTTTCTTTTTCTTTCTTTCTTTTTTCTCCCCACTTTTGTTTTCATTATTTATTTTCTCTTTCCATGTTATGTCATCATATTTGATCATCTTCAGAGAGCAATAAGCTTTTGTATGTAACATTTTTGAATATGTCCATGAATTCCATTTCTGTGCCATCCCCAGCACTGCTCTGACTTTCTGTGGTTTGTTCTTAAGTCACTGAACTGCTTAGTTTCTTATTAGTTTCTTCTTTGGTAACATGTTTATTATTAGGGCTATTTTTCATTGAGGAATTTATCTCAGTCTAGAAAATCTTTCTAGAAAAAAATTAGGCATGCTAATCCAGGAATTTAGAGGCTGGTTATTATGAAGATCAATTACTGGTTTAATAAAACACATGGTATATACCCATGTGATTTACTGCTTTAATTAAATAACAAATATTTGCATATCTACATTGATATCTCTTTAAAAATAAAAGGAATCATATCATCATTTAGACAGGTTTTCTACATTTCTTGGACTCAGTGGAAGCTCAGACTAGTTCAAAGTAAAACTGGAAAATATTAGAAGAGGAGAAAGAATAAGAAGCAACAGGTTGAGTGTTCATTGTTTTGTGAATGTACCACAGTGATAATATGGTTCAACTTGTTTTATATCTGTTAACCTACTCATCATGCTGACCCTGGGATGTGGGTACTATTACTAGCGCTTTTTCCATGTGAGGAAACTAAGGCATAGAGAAGAATTATATCCAGACTGTCAGCTCCCCAAGCTTTTAGTCACAGCACTGTGGTAACTCTACCCTATGCTGCCTCCACAGATTCTTTGGACTGAGTGGAAAATGCTTTGTGATTGTTCAGTTATTTTCAGATGGCCTCTTCATCTTTTCTTTTGCAAAAACTATCATTTTAGAAACTTGACATCTCTTGTCCTTAATGCCAAATAGAGAGAGGAGATAGAGCTAAACCAAAATGCTTTGTATGAGATTCTTTTATATTTTATTTCAACTGAAAATATCAGTCTTGTGTTATGGAATAAAAGAGTTCTTAAGTTTTGAATTTGTATTCATAGATTTTTAGTGGCATACTGATAATTTCAATTTTTAAAATGAAAATTGATCTTTAACAAGTTGCATGCAAATAATTTAATCTTCATGTAGAGAGGTCATTGTGGGTAAGTGAGATAAGCGGGGATATATTTTACATTTTAAAGATAAAAAACAAGTTTACCATTTACAATAATTTACTTTCATGTTTATTAAAAAAAACCTGTTTATGGTAAAAGTCACATAACATGAACTTACTATCTTGGCTATTTTTAAGTTACAATTCAGTGTTAAGTATATTCCCATTGTTGTGCAACCAGTCTTTTGAGATTTTTTTTTATCTTGAAAACTGAAATTCTATACTGTTTGCAACTTCTCATTTCCTCTCTCCTCCACGCCTGCCAACCGCCATTCTACTTTCTGTTTCTATGATTTTGACTATTTCAGATACCTCCTCATGTAAGTAAAATCATACATTATGTGTTCTTTTGTGACTGGCTTATCTTTCTTAGCATAATGTCCTCAAGGTTCATCCATGTTGTAGCATATGTCAGAATTTTCTTCTTTTTTAAAGCTGAATAATATCCCATTGTGTGTATATATATATATATATATATGCGCCACATTTTGTTTATCCATTCATCTGTTAATGGACATTTACATTGTTTTCACATCTTGGCTATTGTGAATAATGCTGTTATAATCATGGGTATACAAATATCACTTCTAGAACCTGCTTTCAGTTCTTTTGGATATATATCCAAAGGTGGAATTGCTGAATCATATGGTAATTCTGTTTTTAATTTTTTGAGGACATGCCATACTGTTTTCCATAGTGGTCAAACCATTTTACTTTCTCCCTAATAGTACACAAAAGTTTTAATTTCTTCACACCCTTGCAAACACTTGTTATTTTGTGTGTGTGTGTGTGTGTGTGTGTGTGTGTGTGTGTGTGTGTGTATGTGTGTTTGTAGTAGGCAGGCATTTTAACAGATGTGAGGTGACATCTCATTGTGGTTTTGACTTGCATTTCTTTAATTCATGTTTCTTTATGTTATTCTATAATGTGAGCCATCCACTACAACTAAAAGGAACATAAATAGTTTTGAGTCCCAATTATTTATTTAGAAATAATTTTGTTCAGTTTTCCTTTCACAGTGCTTCGCTGTTATTCTCAAAATATCTTACTTTTGGTTGTGCTTTAAGCCCAGATTTTATCTACTGTTTCTTTGTTTGTAGCTGTTCTTCAGTTGCTGATAGTAGATCTGGAGACTTCTTCAAGCATCTCCATTTTGTGCTGGTGTCAGTATCTTCAGAGCTTCAGTTATCTCAATGGCAAAGCCAGGGCTTCTGGTACATTATCCTGCTGATGGTTTCTCTCTGGTTCCTGAGGCTCTACCTGCACTACCTGGGCCAGTGGCTCTTCCTCCAGGCCATTTCAGCTCCTGTTACAAGGTGAGTGCTTTCCTCTGAAAGTCAAAGGAATGTATTTTCATCTTGACAGGACACATGAAAGTATGAAACACCTCTCCCATCCATTTACCATAAGACCTAAAATGCAGAGATGATTTGAAAAGACAAAAATGTCTTTATCTAAGAGCAAGAACTTCTATTACAGTTATAGTCTCACCTTATGGGCCTGTATATATAAGTACATAACTGGTACATCAATATATATTTTAAATTTAGCAGATTCAAATATGTTCTAATATCTGAGCAGGTTCCAAAAAGGAATTTAGCAACAATGTTTTATTCTATTTTGATTTTATCAGAGTGACTTAGGCTGAAGGTATTTTAGAAGTAATGTAAGTGTGATTTATCACCTATTCACAGAGAAGCAAAGATTGCTTCTTCTGCAAAATGATTGAATTCAAACAATTACCAAACTCAAGCCCAGGCAGCTTTCTGGGCCATTATCCTCTGGAAAAAGATGACACTTTAAAGGTTATCTCTCCATAAACATGATTTCAAAGACACTGTAGATAGACAAACAGATAGATACCAATACAAGTAAAATTCATTTTCTCAAATGTAGATGGTACGGATAAAAATAAAATTGTGTGTATATTTTCAATTAAGAGGATTGCAAAGAACTTTAAGACTTTATGAAAAAGAATATATATGTTTATTTGTATTTATACATACATATATAGTTATTGATATTCTTTGAAAATTAAATCATAAATGTCTGAATATATTATGGAATATGCAAATGTGTCTATACTAAACTGCATTTTCAAGGGGGAATTTTTATCTGGATATTCTCTTTGTTCCTCCTTTCTTTCTTTCTCTTTCCTTTTTTTAAGGTTTCCAAAGCAGAAAGAACAAACGTTGTATGCTTGGGTTAGTTGTTTTTTGCTTTTCACTCTTTTATTTTTTAATAGAAAAGGAAGCCCTATCATTTGTTAGTTGTTAATAAAATGAGACTGCACAATGTAACTTGGCAGCTCAGTTGCACCAACTTCTTAAGCAACCAAGGACCTAAGATACAAAGGGTGTTTTTCTGGCTACCGTCTCAGTCTGTAGGCTTGAGTCATGCAGTAGCTCTGTGTCACATTTTACCTTTGAGCCATAGCATTAACAGCGCCAACAATGAGCATGTCTTCCACTCTCACTCTGTGTCAGATATTGTGCTAAGAAATATATGTGCATTACTTTATTTGATATTCACAACCACATAAGGACAAAGCATAAAACTTTCTTTGAAGCACAAGTCAAGGAGTAGATGGAAAAAACACCTCCCTTTAGTAGATGGCAGATAAACAGAATGTATGAGCAGGTTTAAGTATGAAACAGGTTTACATAGGCTGAAATTCAGGGGAGGGAAAACTTAAGGTGAAATAAAGTCTCACTGCAAGAAAGACAGTGGCAAAGCCTGGGTCGAGGATGCTTGAGTGACTGGGCTCAGATTGGATCTCACCCTTAGGCTAGGTCCTTCAAATGTGTCTAGTTGACTCTTTCAGAACAACAAAAGGGTGTGATATTTTGGTTGTTAGTGGTGACCGTGTCATTTTTGTTGTTTCTGGGAATCTAGTTATAAGAATCACCAGTAAAATCAATCAGTTATACTAAAACTCTAAAGAATTATTAGATGTATATCTAGTCCTCATTTCTATTAGAGACTGACACATTAGAAAATTCACTGGTCTATTCTGCATTTTAAATAGCCTACTAAAATGTGCCTGTGAACCGCAGAAATGCTCTAGTCTTTAGAAAGCTCTGTTCTGTGGCTCAGATTGACATACTTTCCACGGCGGCACAGGACAGTTACAACAACAATAAACAGGGTAGAATTTATTTATCTTTTCCTGGAAAGTAACATGTTGAGGGGCTGGGAAAAAAATGAAGAGTTCTAACAATAAATTTTGGGGCACTACTAAGTGTCCAGTTTTCTATATTTCAGAAAAAGCAAACAAAATGCAGTTTTTAAAATTGGTTTGTATACTTGGCATTCTCTGCAGTGCCTCTTGTTTGCCCCTATGTGATTGCCTTGTTTTTCCACAGATTCCATTTTTCCCCTCACACCATCGAGCTTTGCTACCCAACTTCTTCACTTCACATTGGAGAAGAGCTTGCTGTGGTTGTGGTGGGGCGTTTAATGCTGAATGCGATCCTACTTCTTTTGCTTCTGATCAGACGGGGCTGTCAGCTACTGTTTGCCTCCTGCCCTGATGTCTTGTCAAAGTTAATCATTACCATGGGACTATGGACAGTTCTAGACCCACTGGCAGTGTTTATAGTGGATACTTTCCTGGGGGTAAGTCAAATGAAATAATCAGGATATGAGTCCTTGACATAGAATTTATCTTAGTGCATGAATCATTTGACATGGAAAGTTTCAATCATGTAAATGTAAGCTCCAAGAGGGTAGAGCTTTTGTCTAATCTTATTACTCTTTTATCTTCAGTTTCTAATGGCACAGAATAGGCATTCAATACATGTGTGTCAAAGAAATAATTAGAATATATGCACTAGATTATGTGATTGCCATCAAATATGTATCATTTTTGTGTTTCATTAATGCATCTCAAGCCTATTTCATTACCTTTAAGAAACAGCAGAAAGGTACGATGTGAAATAAGAGAAGTGCGTGATGACTCTTAACATCTCCTGCCGAAAGTCCTGGCAGCAGATATGCTTTTTGCAAGGCAGACTGGTTAACAAGTACAGAGTACAGAAATAAAAGTTTCGAGGTGGTGCTCAATGAAGCAGCAGCTGAGAGTTGGAACATCTCAATTCTACTCATTGCCCAATAACTAAAGTGTATTTTGGTATAGGGAAGATGCAAATTAATCTGCTTAGGCTTCTGTTTTCATTTACACATAAGTAATTTGGATAAGCTTTTTAAAACAGTGCCTTTTCAACCTATCTTCATCATTAGTTTAATCATCAGTTTATAAACTAAAGAAATTCTTCCTTCTCTATTGCATTGGAGAAAAGATACATTACTTAATATTTACATTTGCATATTATTTCCACTTACTATCAGGAGACTTACAATTAAAGGACATCCATATTTTATAAAACTCAAAGGTCAAAGATGTCATATGATGACACTGTAGGTCCTTACAAATGTGTATACTTTAAAAAATACATTTTATTGTTTTTTTAATTTCTAATCCAATGTAGCATACATCTTTCCTTGTCTAAAATAAGGGCTTTTTGTTACATTAACCTAATGTAAACTTGGTTTTTAAACTCACATTAAGTATCCTGATAACTTTTTTATAAGTTTCTAAAATAAGCCATCTCTTTTATGTATAGCACAAATTAAATTCCTATCAAATCTGCTTCAGAAAGAAAGGAATGTTTTCACCATCAAATTTAATTTCTTCATATCTTCTGCTCATTAAATTCAGAAGTTAATAGTACATAAATAAAACATGGCTTTTACTTTATGAATTGCATGTCGAGTGCTGGCATATAAAGGCTTAGAGGGAAAATGAGAAAAACCTGGTAAACCAAGCACGTAAAACCCAACCTTTTTTCTTTTCCTTTGTGTACCTGAAGGAAATCTTCAGTACCTAGAAGATTTAATTCAAAAACAAATTATAGGGTCACAGAGTCTTTGCGTATTTACATTCACCTAACTTGATGATGAGTGTTTCCATTCTTAGTTTTTCAACTCTGTATTTGTTTGTGTCAGCAGCTTACAGATAATGAGGAGACTCCAGTGGCAGATGCTGCGAAACTCTACTGGATGTTTGTAAGAACCACGCAGCCAGGCATTCTTGGCGTGGTGATCACAGCTCTGCTTTACATCTTCCTGTTCATCATTTCTTCTTTGATTTTACATTCATATTGTCTCAGGTAAGATGCTTCAGTCACTTTGTTCTTCAGTGTGTTCAGCCTCTGGTCTTCTTCTTATACATTTAGGTTGTGAGGAAATGGTTAAAAAAGAAAAGTTAGAATCATTTCTACATTGCTAAGGTACTCATCTCTTTAGTTACCTGTAACACTTGTTCTGAAGACCAGCCAGGAAATTATTCGATTTTTATGAAAATATCTTCGCCATTATAGAGAGAGCTAATTTTGCTGTGAATTATAAAATCTGCTTCTCCAAACCAGAGGCCAGTAGCAAACAAGGAGAAATCTCTTGATATCTAGTGACATTCTGGGAAATTTCCTGAAAAGTTTGTCTTAAATCCTTTTTTTCTTCTCCTTCCAACCTGCTTCTTCCCACACTTTCCCACCTCTATTAAAGTCACCAATAGAAAAATCATTCTTTAGCTTTGACCCTGAATATCATGTATTTGGCTTGCCAGGTCACCAATTTAGCAAACAGTGTATGTGTGTGAAGAAAGAGAAGAGAAGCAATAAATACAAGGTGGTATAAAAAGTACTAGGAGGATGTTTTATTCTATTGCTTATTTTATTTGTTGCACAGAAGATCTTTAGTTTGATGTAGTCTCACTTGTCTATTTTCACTTTTATTTCCTGTATTTTTGGTGTACTATCCATGAAATTATTGCCAAGACCAACGTCATGATTTCCCCCTATGTTTTCTTCCAGGAATTTTAGTTGCAGATCTTATGTTTAGTTCTTTAATCCATTTTGAGTTGATTTAACATGTGGTGTAAGATAAAGGTCAGTTTTATTCTTTTGCATGTGAATATTCAGTTTTCCCTTTGCCATCTGTAGAAGAGACTATCCTTTCCTCATTGTGTTTTCTTGGCATCCTTGTTGAAGATCAGTTCACAATATATGTGTAGATTTTTTTTTGGTTCTCTAGTCTGTTACATTGTTCTATATCTGTCTTTTTATGCCAGATTAAACAGTATTGTACTGTTTTAATTACTGTAGCTTTGCAGTATAATCTAGCAATTCCACTTCTGGTATTTACCCAAAAGAAATGAAATCAGAACTTTAAGGAGATAATAGCATTCTCATGTTCACTGCAGCACTATTCACAGTAGGCAAGACATGGAAACAGTCTAAATATCCATCAGTTGAT